TAAAATTTATATAACTCGAATCAAATCAAATTGAAAGATTTTATAAAATAAATTTGACTCGACTTGACTCGAAAAAATGAGTCGAATAGAGTTGGTCTTTAAACTCGACTCGACTTGACTCATTCAGAACTCTAAGACTAACCTGGCATGATATGTATGGCCTCTGAAGTTATGATCATCAAATATATCTAGAGAGAATAAATAAGATAGGGTTAAATCCATATGGGTTGATTATTAGGAAAATCAGGTTCCAGAAATTTTTTAATAAAATTGAGATTTTTATCGCATTTTAGTTTTTGATATTATTAGATTAAAATGTATTAAGCTCTTAATTTAAGTGAAAAATTTTTTGGAACCTGATTTTCTTAGAAACCCTCCTATATGATAATAAGTGTTAGATTTTACTTGATAGAATTTGAACTCTTCCATATAAACATTAGTAAATTAGATTATACAAATGCATAGTAGTATCTGGAATATCTCTTAAGAAAGTAGAAGAAAAGGCTATGAAAGTTAGATTTCAAGTCAAGAAATAGATGCTTTATAACAAATATTTTTTCTAAAGATAAAAATTATCAAAGAATATAATTTTATTAATTAAAGTTTTTCTATCGTCATAGTAGAAATAATACAAAATGGTCAATTATAAGGATATAGAACTTATGCAAGTCAAAGTCATAAAAATAGCATTGTAAAAGGACAAAAAATATAATAATCTTGTGAAAAACTATGGAGACTATCTAAAGAAATTGCGAGCTGAAAAGAATCTGAATGATTATATTAAGACAGTCGCAGTTAAAATATTTTCTAACAAAGAGGCATATACTTTAAGGCTAGAAAATTATTGCAAATGATATACAGATAATGATCTGTGTATCAGCCTAGAGGAATTATATAAACTTTATTATCAAATAGCTAAGGAGGAGTATCGTGAAAGATCAGATGATAAAATAGAGCAGATATTCAAAACAATGGCAATTTAGTCATCTAGTGAATAATGTATATATGCAAGCAGAAAGGTAAGTTACAACACTAACATAATATTATAGTTATTATTCAGGCATAATAAATATTCAGTTATTTTTTCAGAAATAGAAAAATGACTTCTAAAAAATATTACACATATTCAGAAAAAGAAAAGATATATGCTATTCAAGAGATCAAAGACTCTATTATAACATTAGAGCGTGATGTAATAAAGATACATTAAAATCTTAAAAGTATTAGCCAAGAAATATATTATCTATATGATGTTATAACAGGTCCTTTCAAGACCACATCATTCTTTAAATCATCTAAGTCCAGTTCACCTGAAGTAATAATAGAAGAGATAGCTGTATCTAAAGAAAAGAAAGACAAATTTTATAAGCAAAAAAGACCAAGCAGATTCAAAGAATATACTAATTAAATTGGATAAATTATTAAATATGGCTAAAAAATCTAGAAATAATAAATGCAAGACTGCAGGTAAGTTTAATATTAACCTACACAGTATTTGCCATTATGCAATCCAGTTAAGTATGAATAAGACAACTGGCTTTATTACTATCAAAAATATAAAATAAGACAGGGTTATAAACGGGTTTGATTATCTTGAGCTATGTGAATATCTGGAGTTAGATGCTCATTATTAATATTATTTTTTTAATTAAAGATATTCTAACTATATAAAAAATACATATAGTTAATTTGCTATAACATTTTCTATAGAATTAATATTATTTATTTTAAAGGATCTTTCAAACTAGGATTTAAAAATCTTTTGCAATATAAATGATATATCAGCAAAGGAGGTAGATCTTGAATAGTTCAAAAGAAAGACTCTTTTTGATTTCCAGACTGGATTATTGGTTTAAGGTAATGATACGGTAAAAGACTTTTATTCAAAATTAAAAAAGTATAACAAAAGTGTGAGCTACTATGAAGAACGGCTCAAATAGCTATTTCTTATAGGAATATTACCTGAAAATACATTTAAAGTTTTTTTGAATGAGTTAGAAATACTTGTATTAGATAAGATAGTGGATAGAATTAGTCTAAAGCAGTGATCATCAATCGGTTATTTGTTTGCTAAAACATATTAACATATCTATAATATAATCTATGAGTAATATAGTACAAATTGATCAATCTGATATACGGTGTTAACTCTACGCTCAGCCCATCAAACTTAGGGTAACTATGACTTAATAACAGGAAGTAACATGCGAGAAACTACTAAGTTACTGTAGAATAAGTCCTATCACAATCAACCTTAGGTTTATACGTTTAGACGAGAAAATAACTAACAATTTGTAAACACGATAAACACAATTGATACATTGAAGGGTTTTTAATATGTGTAATTTAGAAAGAGATTCCTTTATTGTAGAGATTTGTATCCTTAGCAATTCTTAACCTTGGATTTTAAGTCTTAAACTCGAACTATTGAGTTTACACTATTATCTCTACCCTTTTACAAGGATAAGTTTCCATCCTATTTATATAAAAATACAATTATAAGAATTTACTATCTAACGTTAAATTATTTTATAATGCTAAGATAAATATAATAGATAAATTATAATTTAATGATAATACTAATATAATAAATAATAATAATAAAATATAAGAATAAAATAAATAAAATAAAAATGTTAACTAAGTTAAAAATGTTAATGATGTTAATAACATTGATCATTTGTTAATCTTTGTGATGCAGTAGGATTGACTTCATATGGTATCAACAGAAGTTAGAAATGGGACAGGCAGAATTAATATCAAGAGTCAACTTGCAATAGAGAAGTTTGAAGATTTATTTGATTTCAATAAATGGAAAAAAGAGACTAATTTAATAATTACATGTAAATATGCGGGTAGTCAGTCTTATAATACTGCTATCGGTCTAGATGGTATTATTTCAGTTATAACTGAAGAAGATGTGAAACACTTAGGATTAAAGATTGATTAGATCAGTCTAGAACAGGCTAAAGATACTTTGCATAATAGTGTAATTTTTATTTTTATTTGAAGATACAACATATAATACAGAATATTTATGGCATATACAAGCATTTTTATTATACCAGAACTATTAAAATAGATTTTACATTTTTTAGCAATAGATAAATCTCTCTATCCTACTCTATATGTTTTCCAATTATGGTACAGATACAGTACACCTATTCTGTGAAAGTGTATTGAATTGAGAGGAAACTTATATCTTAGACAATCTTTTCCAAATTATTATAATTACTATGCAAAAGATCACCCTTGATTAAATAAATTCATAAGGATAGAATGTGCAAAGGATCTCTTTTAATTGAAAAAATTCATAAAGTTAGTATGTAAAAAACAAATGTCAGTTTATTGCTCAAATGTAACTCATCTCGAAATATCATACTACTATTCACTTTCAGATAAAAAAATCATAAGTATTATACATTCATGCCCAAATATAACCCATTTGGGTTTCATAAATAATATAGGATTTAGTAATAGAGTATTAGAACTAATAACGAATTCATACTTGAATCTGAAGTATTACAATCTGTGTAATGATCAGTTAGGTGATTTTAAGAGCTTTCATACTCAAGAAGTATATGATCTAGATCTATGAAAAATCACATAGTTATGTCATAAATTAGATATTTAAATATTTTATATCACACCAGAGTTACTTGAACTATTGATTTGTAATATTATTCGTTTCTGTCTAAAACTCTAGCATCTTAGTCTTAGATTTTGTCAAATTACTGATATAACTATCAAAAAAATTACTAGTTTGTGTCTTAATTTAAAGTATCTCAATTTGAAAAGATGTAATAATATTAGCAAAAAAGCCATAGATCAGCTCGTTTTACTTAATCCAAATATCTATATTAAGAATTTTGTGGAAACTTTAACACCTTCTAATTTTATTAGTGCAATTAGTAATTTTCTTGGTCAATATGCTAATAATCAAAATTCAGTTTTATCTCAGGTAGTGTTCTGTATAGATTCCGATCGATCTGAATTCAATTCAAATCTGATAGATCAGATTCAAATCAGATCTATTAGATTTAGATCTAATTCAGATTCAGATTCAGATCAGATCTGATTCTTCAGATTTAGATTCAGATTCAGATCTAATCATATCAGATTCAGATTCAGATTCATATCTAATCTGTCAGATTCAGATTGGATTCAAATCTGATTTATCAGATCTGAATTCAATTTTTTAAAGCTGAAAAGTTCCTTTTCAATGAAAAGGAACGAATTTTTAAACTTCTTATGAGTTAAAATTTATTTCTTTTCATTGAAAAGAAATGAATTTCAGATCTCTTTTAGAACTGAGAAGTTTCTTTCATTGAAAAGGAACAAATTTTCAGAACTTTTTTAGAGCTGAAAAGGTTTCTTTCAATGAAAAGAAACGATTTTTCAGAATTCTTTTAGAGCTGAAAAGATTCCTTTCAATGAAAAGAAATGACTTTTCAGAACTCTTTTAGAGCTGAAAAAGTTCCTTTCAATGAAAAGGAATGATTTTTCAGAACTCGTTTAGAGTCGAAAAAGTTCTTTTTAATAAAAAGGAATGACTTTTTAGAACTTTTTTAAAGCTAAAAAAATTTCTTTCAATGAAAATAAATGATTTTTCAGAATTCTTTAGAGCTGAAAAGGTTCCTTTTATTGAAAAGAAACATTTTCAGATCTCTTTTAGAACTGAAAATTGTTTTTTCAATAATACTTTTAGATTCAGATCAGATTAGATTTGAACTTAAACTGATCTATCAGATCCAGATTTGAGATTTGATCCATCAAATTTGAATCAGATTTGGATTTTAACAGATCTGGCAGATTCTGATCAGATTCAGATTCTGAAAAATGAAAATCAGATTAGATCAAATTTGAATAAAATCTGATCTGATCTGATTTTATAAAATACTAATTTCAGGTATTCTGATAATCTGATTCTAATACATTTATAGTTAGTCAATCTCTGACTCGAGATATTATTTCTACCTTAATGTCAAGAACTGGTGAAAGAATACTAGCCAATCAAGCAGAATGGTACTCTACCAATCTAACTAATCTGGATCAGTAATTAGCTCTGAAGATTTTTTTTTACTGAGTCACAGATTATGCAATAGAAATATAAGTAGATCATTACTCAAGTTTTATATGACAAAAAAAATAGATTAGCTAAATATAGATGCTAATTGAATTTCACACAAATGACACAATTGAAATAGCAATAGTTTTTTCAGAAAAATAAAACATTTTACTTTTCTTTAGATTGCATCTTTGGCAAAAAATGGTATAGGTATGTTAATATCTGCTAAAGGTAAAGAACTGTCAAAAGTTTTGAAGATATGCTCTTGCATTTTTATTGGCTTCTTCTAATCCATTTATTTTCTGATCAGAATGACTAACAATATCAAGAATATTCTGAATCATGCTTATATTCTCTTTCAAATATAAAAGCAAATGATATAATATTCTAA